CTCTTACATTTTAATTGAATGGATTTTGAAAAAGTGAAATTTTAGTACAAATTCTTAATTTCGATTGAATTTGGCCCACTAAATATCATATTCATTAGGAACCATTGATTCAATTGAATATGATTTCCCAAAATTTCAATTTATTAAATATCTAAAATTTAACTAATTTTGATTTTTTTTTAGTCAATTTCTAGCCAAATCAATCCTTGTAATACTAAATGTTGTTACTAATTTCAATATTTCTAGTGACTAATGATGTTACCATTAGCTATTAATACTGTTACTAACTACTAATATGACTATTAATTACTAACATTATTATTCCTTCAAGTAACTACTAATACTACAAATATTACTAGTAAAATTTTGTCATGTAACAGACCTCGAGTGTGCTATTAGGACCAATTTTTGCTCACATTGAAACTTTGGGAGTCCTCAATGTTTCAATAACCATATAGGATGAGGAGGGCAATGCAAATTGAGAAAATTTAAGACCGAAATGTTATTTTCCAAAGTACCATTTCATCATCCTATACGTCATCAATGAGTTCTGATTATGTGAGAGGGAAGGGTCAGAAGCGGTTGGAACTTGGACTCTTGAGCAAGGTTCTAAAACCCAGACCACTCATTAACCCAAAAATGAATGGGTCAAAGGTCATTGGATCAACCGTTGGACTTATCATTATTAACTTGTGATGTCATAATTACATTATAAATATTATTAATAAATATTAAATATAAAAAAAAAATTAGATATTTGTAGAAACTTAAGTCATATTGTTAAATATGATCACTTCAATTCTCATTCTATTTTTCTAAATAGTATTATTTGTTTGAAACTCAAAAATAGCCTTTATAAGTTAGAGGTTTAAATCATATTATTTCATGTATTTGTAATTTTCCTAAATTATATGAGCACTAGTTTATATGATAAAAATTAAAAATATAAAAGGCATTAACAAATAAATGAAATGCATTCAAGATTAAAAGAAAAAATAATACAGTTGTATATGTTATAAAATTTTTTTAATGGGTGTCTATTAGGCACTCGTTAACAAATCTAAAATTGACCTAACTTATCATATATATATATATATACTAATAATTATGACCTATTATTGCATTTATGTACTTTTCTTATTTAATTTTACTTATCTTCCCTTGTATTTATTTTTTTCTAATTAATCTTACATTTCTAAAAATGTAGCACCCGCAATATATTTTAACGAGTATCCAGTGGGCACTCATTATAAAGACCCTATGTTATAAATGTTAGACAAGAGTTAGTATGTAATTATGGAGGAGACAAGAGAAATGAGTAGAATAAGACTATAATTGTTATTGTCTAATTAGTTAGAGATAATTATGAATGGATAATTAGTAAGATATTAAATTTGAAATGTCATTAATGAGATTGGTTGATCAAATTCAAAATTGTCGACTTAATTAAGGTTGGATATTGAACCAAACCTCACAAAACCATTTCGGTTCAATGGTTTAGTAGTTGAATCGGACGATTCAACTAATTTAATGTAAAATTGATGCTATTTGGTTTTTGAAGCTAATCCAGACCAGAAAACCGGCCGGTTGACGGTTCGGGGTTGGGTTTTAATGCTGTCGAGTCTTGACTTCCAACTCCTACATAAGCGACTAAATTGCCACGTCAGATTCAGAATTCAGAATTCTTGAACGGCCGCAACAAATTCCAACAAGGTCTGTTCTCTCTGTCTCCCACTTCCTATCCCAAATCTCGGGGTTTTTGTTGTGAATTGAACAAAAATTTATGTTTCAATTTGCTTGAATTTTGATTTCTGATCTATGTTGGAGCTTATCTGTTTAATTTGATGCCAATATTTGGTTTATTTGTAGAATTGTTTATGGATATAGTGATAAGATGGATAATCTGTGGATGGAAATTCAGAAACTTAAAAACTTGTAAATTGGGTTTTGTGGTTGATTGTTTTTCAGCTGAGCAGTTGCGGGTTATTATTTATTGGAAAAATATAAGGAAACGAATCAGGAAAATTTGCAGGTTGTGTAGGATTCTTGAAGGTTAGTGCTTTTTTAGATTGATATAAAGTGTTTTTTGTTTACGGATTAATCTTGTATAAATCGTCACCGTTTGTCAGACGAAGGATTTTTTACACGCGTGGGTCAAGATGCTTGAAACTGCAGTGAATTGCAGAACAGATTATGATAAAGAAGAAGTCTTAAGCAGAGTAAGAGTGCAGCTTGTGTAATACTAGCTGTTAATAGAGATATTTGTTGTAGCGGCCTTAGCTGAAATCTAAGTTGTTAATTAGATCATTAAAAAGTTGACTTATTTAGTTTAGGGAAAATCAACAAGTTTAGTGAGTGTTTGTTGTCCTGTAATTTATTGGAACATATGGAGATAAAATTAATAATGGATATTGTTTAATTCTAAAGAGTAATGGAAGGTGCAGGTGATATGTTTTAGCAGGATTTCAGGAACATTTGCTTCTGTTAGCTATGATGAGTGTGAGAGTAGGAGGAATTGCGATGCAGAAGCTGTTTGGGAAAAATAAGGACGGAGTTGAGTGGTAGGGCAAGACTAGAAGTTATAAGTTGTAAGGGAGATAACGATCGAAACCATAAGAGTTAAACAGTATTTTCTTTCATAAATAAGTATTTCAAGATCTTCATTCAACACAATCGTATCTTTGGCTTCTTTCTGTCAGATAAAAGGATGTAATTTTGCTTGCTAGTATACTGTTGAAGTCATATACTTCTGACTTAGGATTTCAGACTTTGTCCCGATGAGCTGAAATCTTCTGTAGCTAATGCTTTATCCTTACCTTCTGGATCCTGTAACTCTTTTTACTTGCAAACTTAGTTTATACGACGATGATGATCAGCCCAATAATCAATTGCTTTTGACAAATATTAGTAGCAAGATTTGCTCAATTGAAGCTCGGTTCCAAGTTTCTTAGGAGTAGAGAATGTTGTTTTCCAATTTGTGAAAATCATCCTATAAGGCAAAAAATTTTGATTGCTTCCAATATTTGGTAGAGATAGCACAGTTAGATATATGTATTGAGGTGATTGATTTATCTTTCATATTGGATACTGCCATTCCACCACGCGCTAATTGCGTCCAGTGCCCAGTTTGATCATACCTATGTTACTTGGACTTTTCTTTCCTTAGCTGTATGATTTGCAGACATGAAACGGCTCTGTTATTGGTACTGGATTTTTATGTGACACTTCAAATGAAGTCAAGGGTGCATCATAGATGCTGAAGAGAGTAAAAGGTGGAGAGTTGATTCGTACAAGAATCATATCTCAGTTGGAACAATTTTATGTGCCTGAGTAGAGATTGGTTATAATTTTCATTTCTTTCCTTTTCTTTTAGCATGTGCTGGCTTTATTATTCCTATTTTTACTTATGTGACTTTTGCGGAAAGTGTTTCATGTTGAATCCTACTTGTTTGTTACTCTTACATCTCTGTAATTACATCAAGTCAATTCTGGCAAGAGAAAATTAGTTGTTGTTGATATGTATTGGCTTTCTAATTTGCCTGTCAGATGGGACTTGACTAGAGCAGTAAATGTGAGTTTAGTTTTTCTGAACTTCTGAGATATATGTCTCAAAGATGTCTGACTGCATGACTATGTACTAAATGATAAGTTCCCTGTTTATCAATTTGCTTTCTGGTACTTATTTTTGTTATCTAAGCATATTTTCTCTAATGATGCCTGTCTGTCATATGTTAGCAAATTTTCCTAGAATTTATTTTTGTACTTTTTTTTTTTTGGGGGGGGGGGTTGTTGGAGAAGATAATTGACAACTATTTTGGAAATCTTGTGGTTTTGATTTTTGGCATTTTTTACTGAGGACCTTTCATTGTCAGGAGATTTGCTTTTTATGGATCCCAGTGCTCTGGAAAAGGAGGCTTCTTTGGAGGTCGCACGTGAATCGCTTATTGCCATCTCGTACTCTGTTCCAGATACAATTCTCAGTTCAGTTGTAGTGGAAACTTTGAACACTGGACACCAAGTGGTGGCAACTAACAGTGACGGAGCTGACAAATTCAGGTCCAAACTGATCTCCATTTCTGACCTCCGGTCTCCAGATATTGGAATTATCAGATGCAATGGGCATCATGAGATTAGCTGTGATCATATGTGAGACATGGTTGATAGTTTAAAACAACTTATTTAGTTTGCTTTGCTTTGTGTGCCCTATCAAAATAGTGTGTGGTGTGGTCTATGCTTCTGCAGTGTGAAATGTACAGTGTGTAAACTCTTTGTGAAGTTATGCTTTCAGATTCCTCTGGCAGAAACCTTTCCTTCTTTGTGAAAGTAAGACATGAAAATTTTCTCTTAATTTCTAAATATAGGAGGTATATTGCTGAACTATTGATGAATAAAATGTTGATGATTTGGCCATGCTTCATTTCTATTATATTCCCATCTCAGGTCATAAAGTACGTAAATATTTGCAAAAGCTATCAGTAAGACAATATGTGTCTTTAGCAGAGAGAGTTTTTACACTTAGGCATCGAAATAATAGTGAATCAACATGCTATTAGAGCAGATTAGCTGATCCTTTTCAAACGATTTTTTTTTCTTTGCAAAGATTATCATCTTTCAGGATCAATTCAATCAATTACTGGGTTAATTTGGACTCAGGTTGTCACCCTTTACACTCTTGTCCTGGAGGTTAAACTTAAATGACAGACCTGTTCCACTTAGCTTCTCTTCAGTTATTCTAGATAGTTGCTTCACCATGGATGGTGTGAGATGATTTATCCAATCACCGACCTTTCCATTTCTGAGATTTCTATGCTTTTATTGTCCGTTACACTCACTTTAAACTCCTCCAAGTTATCGAACTGCAGATCTTTGATATTTCTTCTATTACACCTGCTTTCTCCTCTTCCCAGCTAAATGGCAAGCCCTAGAAGTCTGCTAGTCTTTTCAATTGGGGTATAATGTTTTCTTTCATGTCTTCATAAACATTACCTTTTCTGGATTCTCTAAGCTTTGTTTCCGGTATCCCAGCACATGCTTCCAGTATGGACCACATGCCATGACTCCTTTGCAATACATGTCAAATGCGTCTTCAAGCAATTTAGGCCTAATTTTTCTTGCATTCGCCACAAGGAGACAAAATTATCTCCTGGATTATGGCAAATATAGACAACTCGACACTTGCTGCTCTCGATGGATTCTGGCAACAGTGAATATGGAACATGAGTGGTAAAAGGTCGAGGAGATGGAAGACCAGAGAAGTCAGGAAGCTGGCTGGTTCCGTATACCTTGTACTCAAAGATAGGCACAAGTGCATGAGGATCTGATGAGATGAGATTCTGGCAATCGATGCCCACGAGATTTTTACGGTTTACGATTGCATATGCTGATGCTTTCAGCCAAATTGTGCCTGTTCTTGGTAAAGAGGTGACAATGGTATCGCAGTCTTGTGCTTTGTGGGTGTTTTCGAGCTGCGAGTATGCCTTGTGGGAACTACCAAACTTTCAATATTTGAGCACAATTAGTAACCCTAGTGGTTTTTTTCCAAATTACTTTCACGTGATAGTCATATGTTCGGCAAATATTGTATAAAAAATGCCACAACAACGTCAAATATTTTTCTGACACTAAGGTGAAGATGAAATACAGCAAAAGAAGGAGAAAAGGAATAAAATGACTAGAGTTGGGCAAATGATTAAAGTTTTTAAAATATCTTTCTTGGTACTTAGTGTCAGAAAAATATTTTACGTTTCTTTGGCATTTTTTTTATGCAATAGTTGTTGGACATGCTACTATCATGTGACTCTTTTCGGTAGTATTTTGGAAAAAAAAAATTGTCAAGGGTACTAAATGTGCTCAAACATTGAAAGTTTGAGAATCAGATTTATTTTATCCAAAGTTGGGGGATTAAAACTACTCATGTGTCAAAATTTGGGTACCAGAACTACATTTTTCTCAAATAAAGAGAGAGGAGCAGTTCCTTGAATTCATCTGTGAAATCACCATCCTACTCCTAAAGCTCAAATTAGATTCTATCAAAATTGATTCGTGAGTCTAGATAAAGTCAAGATACATATAATCCAAGAAAATATAATTGGTTGATATGATTTCATATTATTAGTCATACTTTTTTAATGCACATTGTCGAATATTAATTTTATTATTTGAACATACTAATCAAATTGTAGTATGGATAGGCATTGAGTATTCATGCTCACGATAGTTTCGATCTAGTTCTTTTTTCTATCTATTGTGAGGATTTGGATCAGAGTTTGAATATGAATAAATTTAGTGAGTGTAAATCTAAATCAGTAATCTAAACCAAACCCTAATCACTAACATGTCTAATGATGAGGAATGGGATGCCTCTAATCATAACTAAGGATACCAAGCTTAACTACTTACCATCAAACATTATACACTTGTAAATAAGTTTTTCCATTTTTGTACAGTATGAGTATGTATGACTAGGGGTGATAATGAGTCGAGTCGAGCTCGGGTAATGCTATATTCAATTTCGAATTTGACGATAAGCAAGTCTATTCAAACTCGAACTCGATTTGAATGAGCAAAAATTTATGTAGCTCAACTCGACTTGAGCAAAGAGCAATTAAAGCTCGAACTCGATTTGATAAGTTTAATACTATTCTCAACCCTTATTAAACTCGAATACTTGAAAACTTGAAATACAAAACTTCATGTAAATTATTTAAAACATAAACCTGTATTGGTCATTTCATAATCAAAATAAATATATTATATAAATAATAAAATTAATCGAGCTACTCGACAAGCACTCAAATAGCACCGAGACAGGCTCGAACTCGATTTAATTTTTGTATTGAATTACTTGAACTTGGTCAAACTGAGCTTGAGCGGTTTGACCGAACCGCTTGCAAGTAGCTCGATTCGCCAGCACTCTATATATGACAGGGTATTTATACATTAAACAATTCTTTTCAATTCTTTTTTTTTTTTCTAAACTTAAAAGCCAAATCTCCCTAAAAATTCATTGAAGATTCCACAATTGACAATTGGTCCGATGATAGTTAATCAACACCAGCTAGTAGACCTCTGTAACTTTTTTTTTCCCCTCTAGTTTAAATATCCAAGCTTGATAGCCTAACATAGAACAATAGTTGAGGATGTCCTATGAACCAATAATTAAGGATGTCCATTTTGAGTAATTCATTAATTGAATCAAACTGATGCTCAAACTTAACCCTCATAACCGATGATTAGGGAACAATATAAGGATTTAAATGTAATTGGAGTGATTAATGATCTTTGTTCCCAATCTATTAGTTCGATTTTGGATTACCTCTCTAGTTTTTGTTACAATGACTGAGAAAAATAATAAGAGAAGTAAAGGACTAGAGTTTATTTCTTTGTAAAGCTGATATTTAACTCACAATATGAAATTGCTCTATTTATAAAGTTCAAAACAACTCCATTATCTATCCCACTAACTTCACTAACTCCACTAGCTATTCCACTAATTTCACTAATTTCACTAGTTATTCCACTAACTCTACCAATTAGGTAGAACAAAACAAACAAACATGATTAACTAACAATAGTAAATATTTCTAACAATCTCTCTCTTAAACTGAAAGTTCTTCAAATAGTCAGTTTAATAGGACTTATCAATTGCATAAATTCCAAGCAGCTTTTCTTAATTTTTGAAATGTGGATAACTTCAATGGCTTAGTCATTATGTCAGCAATCTGATATTCACTTTTGTAGTAAAGAAAATCAATTATTCTATCTCTTGTGAGCTCCGTTAGAAAGTGAAACTTCATGACTATGTGCATAGTTTTTCTATATAAAACTGAATTTTTAGAGAGTTTGATGACAGAACTATTGTTACAATAAATTATAGTAGATCATTCTTGCTGAAAATGCAATTCTTGAAGGACATTCTTTAACCAAATTGCTTGATAGGTACAAACCATTACAATTACGTACTCTGTTTCAATTGTTGATAAAGTAATAATTGGTTGTTTTTTTCAACACCATGAAATAGTAGCTGAACTCATCATAAATATATACCAAACATACTCTTTCTATCATCAAGATTGTCTGCATGGTCATTATCAGTAAAACCAAATAAATTTGATTTTTCATCATTCTTGTAGAACAATCCATATTCAATGGTTCCCTGCAAGTATCGAAGAATCCTTTTGGTAGTTAGAAGATATATCTCCCTTCGATTTTTCATGTATCTACTAATAAGACTTACTGCATGCATAATATCCGGCATTGTGTCTGTCAAATACATGAGATTTCCTACAATTTGCTTGTAAAGGGTGCTATCAACCCTCTTTTTTTTAGATTCTTTGATGAGTTTTAAATCCATTTTAACTGGCATATTAACAAAATTATAATTCTTCATTCGAAACCTGTTCAAAATTTCTTACACATTTTCTTTGAGAGACAAAAATTTCAGCAACAGATTGCAACACTTCAATGTTCAAAAAATAATGCATCTTTTCAAGGTCAGATATATCAAATTCAGCCATCATAAATTTTTTAAATTTCTCAAATATGGCACTATCATTTTCAATAAAAATAAAATCGTCAACATATAATCAAATAATGAGTAATTTACCTCCATCTTCAATCTTTATATAAAGTGTATAATCATATGGATACTTTTTAAATCTCTCCTTAAAAAAAAAAATCTATACGAATATACCAAGCACGTGGGGCTTGTTTTAATTTATACAATGCCTTTTTTAGTTTGTCTATACCTTATGTTCACTTCCAACTTTCACATAATCAGGAGATTGATTAATAAATACCTGTTTCTGTAGATCACCAAATAAAAATACTGATTTCACGTTCAATTGAAAGATAGGCCATGAATGTTTTGCTTCCAGTACTATCACTATTCTGATCGTGTCATGCCTTGTTACTGGAGCAAAGACTTCTCCATAATCCATTCCAAATTCTTGCTTATGGCCTTGAGCTACTAAACATGATTTGTACTTGTCAATTTCTTCATTCTCCTTCAATTTCGTTTTATACACCCACTTGACACCAATTGACTTTTATCCTTCGGAAAGATCAGTTAACTCCCATGTGTTGTTTCATTCAATAGTTGCAATTTCTTCATCCATTGCCTTTTGTTACTTTGAATCTTTGATAGCCTCTTCAAAACCTGTAGGATCAGAATCCAAAAATATAGCAAAGTATGTAAGTGAGTTCTCAGATTGGTCAATTCCAGTTACTTCATAATCGATCATTCATACAGGTCTTTTTTTAATATGTTGAAGCCGTCCTTTATCTTCTGCTACTGTCTGGGAACTTGGAATATTATCTGAACATCTGATGGAATTTATTTTGTCAATTGTTGTCTGTTCTCTTCATCAATTCCATCGAAATTAGTAGGTATTTGTTGTTTAATAACATTGCTATTCCATGGTAAAAATCTTTTTTTTTTTTAATAAAAAATTACATCTCGGTTAATGACAATTTTCTTTGTAATAGAATTATAAAACTTATAAACCTTTGATTGATCACTAACACTAAGAAAAATGCATTTCTTTCCCTTATTATTTAGTTTTGTCCTCTTTTGTTCTGGAATATGAGTATAGGTAATGCATACAAAATTCTGATTAATCCACTATTGGTTTCCATGCATTGCATACTTCTTCAGGCGTTATATTTTTAATAGCAAATGTGAAACTTCTATTTAGTTTATGAATGCTCCAATTAATAGTTTCAGGTCAAAATATTTTTAGAACACCATTTCTTTTCAAAATGGTTTTTACCATGTTCAAGATTATATGACTCTTCCTTTCTGAAACACAATTCTACTATGGCGTATAAGTTGCTGTAAATTACTTCTGAATTTCATATTCCTTACGGCAATTTACAAATTCTTGTGAGTTAAATTCTCCACTACGATCAATGCAAAGAATCTTTATGAATTTGCTTGCTTCCTTTTCGACAAGAGTCATAAATTTTTAAAAATTGAAAATGGTTCAGATTTTTTCTGGAAAAAATAGACCCAAATTTTTTGACTATAATCATCAATAAATATCATAAAAACACTATAATTATCAATAAATGTCATAAAATAACATTTTTCATCATTAGATGACGGATTTATAGGTCTGCATAAATTAGAGTGAACCAACTCCAATACATTCTTTGTTGTCCACGATTTTCCTTTGGAAAAGCTATCCCGATATTATTTGCCAACGACACACTTTTCAGAAACTTCTGAAAGAATTGTAATTTGAGGTAGACGAGCCACCATATTTTTCTGTTGCAAAGTCTTTAATCTACTAAAATTTAGGTGCCATAACAAAAATGCCATAACAAAGCCACATCTTTCGATTTTGCTGAGAAATATAAATGAGTTGAGTTCTGTAAATAGAATGGGAACATACGATTTGCTATCATCTTAACTTGAGCAATTAAACTCAACTTTGCATTTTGAACCTGACATACTCCATATTTGATAGAAATCTCGTATCCCTTTTCTAGCAATTGGCTCACACTACGTAAGTTTGTCTTTAAGTTTGAAACAAAATGAACATCAGTGATAGTATGACTAGAATTTTTTTTAGTTTGAATAGTTACCCTTCCTTTTTTCATCACAAAAATTGTAGAGTTATCACCAAATTTGACAGTATTACGGAATAATTTGTCCAATTTAGAAAATGCCTTCTTATCTCCACATATATGGTTACTACAATCGGTTTCTAAATACTACATGTCTTGTTAAGTTTCTTCACTCATGTGACACACCATCAAAAGAAATACTTCTTCTTCTTTTTTTTTTTTTTGGCAAAATTAGTTCTTTCTCCATTTTGTCTATGTAAATTAGTTTGACATTCTTACTAATAATGGTCATACCTATGATATTTGTAGCATTCAACATTAGACTTATCTACTGACTTTGGCTTTGAGTTGTTGATGGATGGCCTCCTCGTCCTCTTCTTCTTTTTTGAAATTGATTTTCTTAGTGATGGTATTGTTGTTATTGGTTACTACGATCATTGTTTCTTCTATCTCTGTTTCTGCCTCTGTCTCCTCTCCATGTTGGGTGACTTTTTGTTGAACTCTTCAATGCTTGTTCCTCTTTTTCTTGCTGGTTAATTTTTTGCTCATAAACCAACAGAAAGCTCTACAACTCATCAATTGAAAGTGCATCAATGTCTTTCGATTCCTCTATAGATTATACAACAAAATTAAATTTTATCGTCATCGATCGAAGGATCTTCTCGATAATGGTGACGTCCTCCAAATTCTCTCCATGGATCCTTATCTTGTTCGCGATTGCCATCATTTTTACGAAATAATTTGTGACCGACTCACTTGACTTCTTGCGTAAAATCTCAAATTTGGTCCGAAGAGTTTGAATCTGTACTAGTTTTGCCTTCGCATTTTCTTGATACTTTTTTTTATGGAATCCCAAATCTGTTTGAAGATATCTTTGCTAAAAATTATTTTCAAGATGGCTCGATCAATAGTTTAAAAGGTAATTCTTGAATTTAAGATCCTTCAGTTTCAATGCTTCCAAGTTCCAACTCTATTTTCTACACCTTTGACAATACTACTCCCATTTTTGGTTCTGCTATTCCAAATCCGACAACCTGTTAATACTCTTTGGATTTTAAGAAGTTCTCCATTAGTATGCTCTAATGATCATAGTGACCATCAAAGCGAGGAATTGCTGATTGCACAAAGTTGTTGGTGGCAATCGTGACTTACCAACAAAATTTTTACAACTCACTTTTGTTTTTACTCATGAAACTAGCTCTGATGTTACTGTTACAATGACTGAGAAAAATAATAAGAGAAGCAAAGAACTAGACTTTATTTCTTTGTAAAGCTAATATTTAATTCATAACATGAAATTGCTCTATTTATAGAGTTCAAAACAATTACGCTAACTATCCCACTAACTCTACTGACCCATTAATTAGGTAGAACAAAACAAACAAACATGATTAACTAATAACAGTAAATATTTCTAACAGTTTTCTCATCCTGGCTTTAAGTAAAAAATGAATAAAAATAACTCCCGAATTTCTTAGAAGAGTAGTCCTGTACAAAGTGGACATTTTATCAAACCGAAGTCTTCTCTTGTTTACATTCGTTTTTCATTTTTTGCCCTTTCCTTTTTCGATGGAGAAAATGTAAGTCGTCCTTCTTCTCAATCTCCCTCTTTGGCTCCGCCATTTTCTCCGAACTCCCGAGTCTTTGGACTTTCCCGCACTATTTTTTATTTAACAGTCTCAAGTCTTAACAAGTCGTCAACGATTCCACTTTTCAAAGTTCTGATTATATTTTTTTTCCCTTCTAACCCTTCTGAGAATCCTAAGTTTCTACTTGTCATTTTTGTTGGATTTCACTGATCTTTGATCTCAATCTTTACACTGCCAATTAATCAAGAATGGTATGCTTTAGTGGATTTTCCTGGTGGGTTTTCGATTTTGGATGCTGCTAGCTAATTCTTTGATATTCAGCCGCAGAAAGTGCTGATTTTTGGAAGTTTTTGATGCTTCAGTTTTCCCGTTGAAGACCATTTTGGAGGTTATTGATGCTGACCCCTTTAGTATTTTGATCTCATTTTTACTGGGTTGTTGCCACTTTTGATCTTTAGTTCTGGAAATTCATCAAGTTTGAACCTTTATTGCTAGTGATAAGATGCTGTTGTTTACGTTTACTAGGAAAAGATTGGTACTCTGTCTGCTAAGTATGGTGAAGGGATCTTGATAGTCAATTGTGTTTGATTGAAAGAATGGCCGCTCATGGGAAATTAAGAATCAAGGAAGCGGCTTTTCGCCGTTTCTTGTCTGTAGCTGTGATCACGTTGTTCGGAGCCTTTTTGATAATATTTCTTCATAGGTACAGCCCTGTTTCTGATTCTGTAATCAGGGATGCATATGAAAGTGCTGAGAGTTTGCAAGTGACTTTTAATTATAGTCCGAGAACAGAAAATGTGAATCTTCCTAAGCAGAATGAATTGTCAATTCGACTTCAGAAGCGAAATGAGTTACCTCCTAGGAACTTGAATTTATATCCTAAGCTAGCTAAGGATAATATAGTGATAGTTTTGTATGTTCATAACCGGCCCCAATATCTCAAAGTGGTTGTTGATAGCCTCTCAAGAGTAGAGGGGATCAGTGAGACTTTACTCATTGTTAGTCATGATGGATATTTTGAAGAGATAAATAGGATTATCGAAGGGATCAAGTTTTGTCAAGTGAAACAGATTTTTGCCCCTTATTCTCCTCACATCTT